GCTCAAAGAGACTTAAGCTGAAAATAACGATTATAAACAAACCCTCTAAAAAATATGATTGCTTAGTAATGCAATGTTATTGGCAATCCTACTGTGTTATTGCTATTTTACTGTTAAAATGTGAAATTAAGAGTAATTTAGCTTTGGAAAAATCAGTATTACAGTTAAAATATTTAATTGTACAAGCTGTAAACTGTACCTACAGCATAGTCAGCATTTCTTTCTATTTCTCCCTATCCCCAGCATTACAGCTATCTTGCTAAAATTGTTCTTTTAAGGAAATGCATTTATGTTTGAATATTTGTTCCTTGTCAAACCACAAACATCTCTTAAAGAGGTCAAAACATTCCCAAATAGAAATAGTCCTTCATTTTTTTCCAAGTTACTGTAATTGATATTAACTGCTCTGGACTCTAAAGCATTTGTATCTATGTTTATGGTATGAGAAAGAGCCCCTTGTGTATTGTTCAATGTTGTTAAGTAAGGTGCAGTTGGGATTTGAAGCCACTGTACTATTAAAACTGCCAGTTAAGCTGTTGAAATATTTCCATCTGTCTCTGCTGCTTATGTCACACTAACACTCTCTGGCAGATCAGTGTCTCTTGGGGGTTCATAAAGAGTCTAGGAATTTAAACAGCAGGAATGGCAGAGTATTGGTTGTACAGTATTTCAAAAGTCAACCACCTTTATCTCTTAGTTTGCCATTTTGTTTTGCTTTACTGTTTCTCATTGGACATTTTTAAATAAATACACTTCATTAATCGGACACTGAAACATTCACAAAATGTAAATGAATTATTAATACAAATAAAGACTCACATTTATGCAATTCATTTTGCCACAATATCAGCCAAAAGTAACTTCTTAGATAAAGTGGCCTGTGTATTCCACTTCACAACTTAAGCTTTTAAAATTTCCTTTTTGAAGGAAATGATATACATACCTTAAATAGCACTTTTCTCAATTCTTGTTAACTTAATACATTACCCACTTCCTTCTGCTGTTCAAGGTTTGCCTTTGTTCCCACTCTTAGTTGTTTCTACACTAAAAGAAATCCCCACAAGCATCCTTGGATTTTGACTTAAATGAAAATCCTAAAAAATATTGAGTTTCTCAAGAAGTTTAAATGAACATATTTTGTTTCACCTTAAAAAGTCTAACTGTGTGAACCCGTGAAAATCTCTTTAGTGCAACACATGGTCAAAAGTTCGGATTGTCAGTCACTTGGCCATCTGGGGAATTAATTTCACCATTGGTGAAAAGAGGATAAGATTGTTTGTTTGCAACTTTGTTTATTATTGTTGAATGTTCTGTTTCTCATTTGGTACAGTGCTTTATTAAAATAAAAAAAAATACATACCCCAATTATCTATGGCACTGCCTTTTTCTAATATGGCTTTCATGTCTTGAAATGCTTTTGTCTGCAGTGTAAACAATGGAAAGAATAAAAATGTGCCAGAGCTCTTTTGTCACAGTGGTCACAGAGAATGTGGGTGAGTAATTCAAAAGAAAAAATATTCCATAGTAACACACATGTTTGTTTCAGCTTATCACAGTCCAAACATTTTCTTATAGGCATAATATGTTATGCTAAATACACTTACCTGATCCAAATGATATTAGCAAAATAAAGTTCAAATTTTACTTTCATAAAACACTGGGAACTCCCATTAAATAATAAGATTAATGGAACAGGATTATTAGGAACAGCCAGAGCAACTTGAAATGAATGTGGAATAGTTTTTGAAACATATTTTAAGTATTTGTAGTTGTGAGGCAGTGAGAGGTCACTTTGAGAGAAAACAACCTATGACAAACAAAATGTAAATCTGAGGCACATCTGGGCTGATCTGATAATTAGCACTCAGAGGGAGTGGGATTTCACATGTGGGAAAGCGGAGGTGGCATGATAACAAAGTGGTTACCTTTGCTGCTTTGCAGTATAGATGTGAATGGAGTTTTTATGTTCCTCTGGGTGCTCCAGCTTTCTTCCTCAGTCTAAACACTTACTTGTAAGTTAATTGGCTTCTGGGGAAATTGTGTGAGCATGTCTGTGTGTGCTCCGCAATCCACTGGTGTCCCATCCGGGGTGTATCTTGCCTTGTGCTCTTTGCTTGTCAGGATAGGCTCTGGCTCCTCCATGACCCTGTATTGGACTGTAAGTGAATGGATGGATGGAAAGTAGCTGCCTGATTAGGCATTCTAGATGCCCCTACCATGCAAGCTTACCTAGCACCTGCCGCAACCCTGTTACAGTAGCCCAATACTAATCTTGAACTTCCAGTGAGATCACCTTCATTTGCAGCCTTGATGAGGGTGATGTTATGTGAAATTGAATTCCAGATTTCAACACTTCCAGACACTAACAGCAGGATTGAGGCCTGTGGTCTGCTGTGGCCAGAGAAAGTAATAGAGGTCTGAGTTCTGCACTCAGTCCTGACTATGCATTGCCTGCATTGAGAGTCCATGCACGTGCCATGAGGAGAATGTCTTATGAGTGATGTACTACTGTCCCCATATGAATGGTCTATGAAGAGATTAATCATATGCAGCTACAAATACAAGCAGCTTCAAATTTCTTTGTTACCAATTCCACAGCAAAACTAAAATGAAATATATAAAAAAGAGGGCTAGGTGAGCATTTCCAAACAGCTACAGTAAATGCAATATACAGTACACTTACTGGAGCCATATCAAGGTGATCATTAAAATGAAATGAAGGCTTGAATAGCAAAATATAATGGAATACAGCACTGATGTGTAGCAATAACTATTTGGACACCTGTTCCAAAACATTTCACAAAAATAAAGAAAAGAACTAGATGCAATCTCTTTATATTGAAAGCAATTAGAACATAACAGAGTCTTCCTGTTATAACATACCTAACCTCTTTATGCTTTTTCCTTTGGATTAGATGTAAATCTTCTATTGCATTTCACCCTGTGGAAGTAGTTGCTTAGTCTCACTTTCTTTGTTTCTATAAGCTCAATTGGATATACAGTATCTGTCTGCAGAATGCTTCACTCTTATATAACTGCATCATAAAAAATCTCTTTTTGGTTCAAAAGAAACATTTAAACTACTGTACATCTAATGAACTTGGAGTCCTGCATAATTTGTTTATAGATTATTTATGGGGTTTATTACAATGAAAAAAGCATATACAGTACTGTACCTCGGTCATAAATGTTTTCAGAATACAGAATTAGACCTTTTCAAGCAACTGGCTGAAAGAAAGGACATTAAATCATTTACAAATGAGTGTGATCCAAAGATTTATGGTAACTCTTGTAAATGCTGAACTTGACTTAGTTTTGTTTCATATTCTTTGAGGAGTTGTATTTACAATAATCCATGCCAGTATAAAGAAACATGTTAGCACAAGTTTAGGCCATGAGGATGGGATAGTCTGATTTTTTCCAAACTTTCCTCTGTTATTTCAGTAATGATCACATAGGGAAAGTGCATTTCCCTTTCTCAAATGCAAATATTATATTACAGCCAGAACACTTCAAAGTAACGGTTCTATAATAAGTTCACATACAGTACGTTTTATGGCACTGGAATACAAGGCAGTCTTCAAACAGTGCAACAGGCAGCTGACAAGGGATGATGCCAAATGAGTAACAGGACAGAGGTGTCATCCAATTCATGCCATACATTTTCTCTGGAACAGAACTCAACAATTTGAGGACTGAAGGATACAGGGTCATATGTCACACTTATCCTTCTTGAAGATAATCCATGTTTATGAGCTACTTGATTTATGCACCAGTTTATTTTTGATATATTGTACGTCTTTTGGCACTGATTATCTATATTCCAAAACAGAAATGGGTGAAGAAATGCTGATGGGATGATGGTTGATACCTATCAGATAATTAGATATTAATATTAGCAGCACATATGTCTGCAATCATGTGTTTGATTTATCAAAACGTCTCTGTCATGGAAAAAACAGTTAAAGTATCCACAGACCATTGCTGCCAATCATACTGTATATATAACAATCCATGGCAGATACAGTATAACTTTTATAAATTAAATTAATATAACCTCTATAAATATGTATCTAATCAGATATGTACATTGAATTACATTGTACAAATTACTTGCTTAAATGTAATTTTAAATGCTTAAACACATGTAAAAGTACATTTTCTCTCATCAGTGAGAGAACAAAAAGCACATCACGCAGGACAGAATACATAAATATTTTTTAATGCATAAACAGTTTGTATAATTCCTAGTAGAAAACATGTAACATGGGCTAAAATGTCAGCGATTCATTTGCCCTCAGTAATCGGTAAACTGTTAGTGTAACATTTATCTGAGATGCAGTGTTTTTACTGCTGGTACTGTACATGCAGGAGGAAACAAGCACGCTAAACAGAGCATCAAACTGCGCGCTTAAACTACAGTAGGTGGAAGTGCAATCGTCACGTCTAAGAGGGAGGGCGTTCTATTCCTAACAGTAGAGACATTAGAATGACATGTACATTTGCCATCTATACTGGATTTATGACAAAACTTCTGAAACATTTTAATGAGCGTACACACATTTCTGCCCTTCTATAAAGTGGAAAAGTATCATTGGTACACGTGTTATGCCTCCCTTAAAATGTTTAATACCAAATATAGAGGTCAACAGTGATGCTGGCCAAATAATCCTTTATAAAAGCCATTTCATTCTTCCAGGCCCATGCTTTATGAACTGATCCTCTGTGGGTAAGAAAATCGAAACAAATATATTCTCATGTAGCAGATAATAAAGCATTAAAATATCGTAAATATTAAACTTTCTACAAGTCATACAGTGCGCAATACCCCTCCACTAATTTAGTTTGGCCGAATTTGTTGCAGGATTAATATTTGATTAACAGATGTATATTTATTTAATAGACATGCCGATTAAATTCTCTTGTTAATAGCAGGGTAAATAATAGATGTGATTTTACAGCACATTTGTAGAATAATGTGTCCTTTTCTAAATTTACAGAATTGAGGAATCCCGTATTTCTTGCCTGGGATCAGGGAGGGTAAGCATGTATCTCTGTATCTTTTCTTTCTCAAGGTAGTGGCAATCTACCTATATTTATAATACAAAATCTAACAGTATAAATAGTTAATAACCTATTTGAAATTCCAGTAGAAAACGTTTCAGCCAGTGTTTACTGTAGACCAGAGTGGTACATTCTACAGGTAATCATTAGATTAGAAATATAAATGAACTGACGAGAAGTATAAACCAGGTCAAACCAATAAATAGCCATTCGGGCCATTGGAAACCAGTTGCTAATTTCTACTGGGACCCACTGGAATTTCTAGTGTGATTAAAAAAACATAAAAAGGGGGAACAAAGATTTCAGTATTATACGCAAAACAATTCTGTTCTTTGATAAGTAGCCAGTATTGAATTGTACTCAGTAATTCCATTTGGTTCCTACCACAGAATTGAATACACTGTAGGTAGTTACAGATTTGTCAATAAATGTATTTCCTTTTAGTGACTTGCAGCAATGAGTTCTGATGCTGAGATGGCCGTTTTTGGGGCGGCTGCCCCGTTTTTACGCAAGCCGGAAAGGGAAAGAATTGAGGCGCAGAACAAACCATTTGACGCCAAAACAGCTGTGTTCGTAACGGAGCCCAAGGAGGTTTACGTCAAAGGCGTTCTCCAGAGCAAAGAAGGGGGCAAAGCCACCGTCAAAACTGAGGCTGGGAAAGTAAGTGTCATGCTGAAATCTAGTTGGTTACTGTAAATCTGCCTTTCACTAGCACTACTAAAACCAATTCTACAGTATGTGTATCACTGTCATGACCTGTATTAACTATGAATTATATTGCTACCAATTACCTTCTTCTTTTCTGAATGTTTAGACTCTAACAGTGAAGGAAGACCAAGTCTTCCAAATGAATCCCCCCAAGTTCGATAAAATTGAGGACATGGCAATGTTGACTCACCTCAATGAAGCTTCTGTGCTGTACAACCTCAAAGAACGTTATGCAGCATGGATGATCTATGTAAGTACTGTTACAGCACTGTTATACTACAATTAATTCTTACTGCTACTATTTCTAATCTTATTGCTTTACCTTTCAGACCTACTCTGGGCTGTTCTGCGTTACTGTGAACCCCTACAAGTGGCTCCCAGTGTACAATCAGGAAGTTGTAGCAGCCTATAGAGGCAAGAAACGCCAAGAGGCTCCACCACACATCTTCTCCATCTCTGATAACGCCTATCAATTTATGCTCACAGGTACTTAATTCTTCTAAAAAGCATTTATATAGCTTGAACAATATGTTTTTTCAGAAGTATGTTTTTCAAGATATATAAATTTACAAATAAATATGAATGCAAATAATTCTTCAAAGTATAATAATACAAAATATTGTAAAAGTACCTTTTTATGAAAAATGAATAATTAAGAATTTGATATGTTGAGCTTTAAAATACAGTATAACATTAAAAGTTATATACACTAATAAACCTTTTATTTTACAGATCGAGAAAACCAGTCAATCCTGATCACGTAAGTACCTGATACATCTAAGTATTGATTCAGAATCAGACTCATATAATTAGTGTACACTGCTAAACAAATCCATGATTTTATCTTCAGTGGAGAATCCGGTGCTGGAAAGACTGTGAACACGAAACGTGTCATCCAGTACTTTGCCACAATCGCAGCAATTGGGGACAAGAAGAAAGAGCAAACCTCTGGCAAAATGCAGGTTAGAAAATATTGCCTCTTTTTTTACAAGCAGCATATACAGTATAAACCCTCCTTAAGCAGTTTCATTGTTGACATACTGTATGTGTGTCCTATAGGGAACCCTGGAAGATCAAATCATTTCAGCCAACCCTCTGCTGGAGGCTTTTGGAAATGCCAAGACAGTGAGGAATGACAACTCCTCTCGCTTTGTGAGTTCTGCATACCACACAGTCTGATTCTCCTTAATGAAAGGGTTCATAGTTCTCATGTCTTCCCACTTTCTTTTCAGGGTAAATTCATCAGAATTCACTTTGGAACCACAGGAAAACTGGCTTCTGCTGATATTGAAACCTGTGAGTTTGAAATATGTTCAGATTAAGTTTAATTTAGTGTTACATTCAGTACAATACCTTACATCTACAATTTAAACATTGTGATCTTTTCTTGTGGGATGTATTTTCAGATTTGCTTGAGAAGTCAAGGGTAACATTCCAGCTTTCAGCAGAAAGAAGTTATCATATATTTTATCAGATTATGTCAAACAAGAAGCCAGAGCTCATTGGTAAGGGACAAAAATGTTTGTTGTATGTACGTGTATGGATTGTATATCCAGGAAAATTGCATCCAACATCACTTCCCATATATGTTTGTAACAGCACAAAGACACATTTTCACAAATTTGTACTTTTATTAATTAATACAGCATTATAGTTACAGTCATCTAAAAAGCTTTAATGTGCTATTATTATTTTCAAAAGACAACATGAAATTCCCAGCAAGTTTGTCCCAGCAATTGACTACATTTCATGTTTACTGCAATTAAATTATGAATATTGCTATCTTTGTTTAGTAATCTACAGGAAATGTTTACTAATTCATTATTATACTAATTTACTTCAGACTCATAATGATTTTTCAATTAAATTATCCATCCATTTTGTAACCGCTTCGTCCAAGAAGCATGGGGGAGCCATAGCCAATCTCAGCAAGCAATGGGCACAAGCAGGATACACCCTGGACGGGATGCCCATCCATCGCAAGGTGCAAACACACACTCACTCACACAGGGCCCATTTTCCATGAAGCCAATTAACCTACCAATATGTCTTTGGACTGCGGGAGAAACCCACGCAAAGAGAGAACATACAGTACTGTACAAACTCCACACAGATCCGGGTCTGGAGTTAAATCCAGGCTCCAAAAGCTAACCTATGCTAATGCTAATTGCACCACTGTTTAAATTTTAACTATTCAAATTTTCATTTATTTGCTTTCATTTAGAAATGCTTCTAATTACTACCAATCCCTATGACTATCCTTACGTCAGTCAAGGCGAGATCAGTGTTGCCAGCATTGATGACAGTGAAGAGCTGATAGCCACAGACGTAAGTACTGTTGGTTAGTGGAAGCTTTTCATGTAAGAAATGCAGATCAAACTCACAAAAACATTTTCATTTCCCCCCCAGAGTGCTATTGACATTCTTGGATTCACTCCTGAGGAAAAAGCTGGCATCTACAAGCTGACTGGCGCTGTGATGCACTATGGTAACATGAAGTTCAAGCAGAAGCAGCGTGAGGAGCAAGCCGAGCCTGATGGCACTGAGGGTAAATGTTTTTGATTTAATAGGCACAGCAATATGGACATGCACTGCCTATGAGAGATTGTGATTTTTTTCACTGGAAAGTGAATGCATGCCATCAATGTTAGCAATATAAAAACAAGCAATATAGTCTTCATGGCTATATCCATGACATTCTTGATTATGATATGGAAATAAACATTCACTTTGACCCTTTTCATTTGATTAATTCCAGTTATTTCTTGTGTTTTGTATCTTAGTTTTAACTTCTTAATGATCATTAATTCCTTAATTGTTCACTGTATGTGATAACCTTTCTCCACTTCTACCTTCACCTTAGAGTTTAACAACTTACAGTTTTACACTAATTGAACATCAAAGTGTAAAAGATGTCTGAACAGGTACTTCAGGTATTAACCGTCCTTCAGATTTGCTCTTCTGGAATCTACATTTGAAAATACATTATCAAATCTTTTGGTTCCTTTGTGTTGTAATGTTGGAACATGAGAAGTTACCAAACCTTTGTTAAGAAGGTTATTACAAATTACTTTTTAAGAATTATTGTGTATGCTGTATGTTTATAATGTATGTATTTCTCTTTCAGTTGCTGACAAAGCAGCATACCTAATGGGCCTGAACTCAGCAGACTTGCTCAAAGCCCTCTGCTACCCCAGAGTAAAAGTGGGGAATGAATATGTCACCAAGGGGCAGACTGTGCAGCAGGTTTGTGAATAAGAACCATCAGTGAATTTTAAAAGTTTAGAAATTATTTAATGTTGATGACACTTAAATGTTTTAAATGTTTTTACATTTGCAGGTATATAATTCTGTCGGTGCACTGGCAAAGTCTGTCTATGAGAAGATGTTCCTGTGGATGGTCTTACGAATCAACCAAATGCTGGACACTAAGCAGTCAAGACAGTTCTTCATTGGTGTCCTGGATATTGCAGGATTTGAGATCTTTGATGTATGTATAGACAATTCTTCATTCCTATTTTGAAATTATTGAAGAAATTATATAATTTCTTCTTCTTTTTCTTATTATAGTTCAACAGCTTGGAACAACTGTGCATTAACTTCACCAATGAGAAGCTGCAGCAGTTCTTCAACCATCACATGTTTGTTCTGGAACAAGAAGAGTACAAGAAAGAGGGAATTGAGTGGGAGTTCATTGACTTTGGCATGGACTTGGCTGCCTGCATTGAACTCATTGAGAAGGTATATATAATTAAAATTATTATAAATCAAGACAATATTGAGACCATTTTCCTATTTATTTATAATCTTATAATTGCACCTTTTTTGTCCTGAATAGCCAATGGGCATCTTCTCCATCCTTGAAGAGGAGTGCATGTTCCCCAAGGCCTCAGACACAACCTTCAAGAACAAGCTCTATGACCAGCATCTTGGCAAGTCCAACAACTTTCAAAAACCCAAGCCTGCCAAAGGCAAGGCTGAGGCCCACTTCTCCCTGGTACACTACGCAGGCACAGTGGACTACAACATCAGTGGCTGGCTGGACAAGAACAAGGACCCCCTGAATGAGTCTGTTGTGCAGCTGTACCAGAAATCCTCCGTCAAACTGCTGGCTTTGCTCTATGCCAGCTTTGCCTCTGCAGAAGCTGGTATGATTTTATTAAAAAAAACATATTTTTCTTAAAAACAATGACAACTTTTAAAGGGGCACAATTCTGCTGAAGGTAAGGTAGCTTTAAGAAAATGATTTTATAAAATAAAACAAAAACAGGCTATTTGCTTTTAAAGAGAATGGAAATTATTTTTATTTTCTTAAATCCACATACAATCACTATAAAAATATTAGGAAACCAGCAAATAACACAAACAATAGAAACAGCTTGAATATGATGAGACACATATTCTACAGGGCTTTAAAATACTTCAGTCCATTTCCTTTCCATTTTTCTAGTAGTGTGAGCTAATGTCTAGACACCCTTGTTTATTCTAAATATTGTGGTGTTTTTCACTTTATTACCAAATAACTTGTAATTGCTAAGTGCTTTTTTAAGTCTTAATTCACAGCAATGACTCTTGCACTGCACTGGGTAAACAAGAGTGTGTAGACATACCCCTTTGAACCACCAAATGATTAGAAAAAAATATTTATGGCACGCTGCAAGAATCAGTGCATCTCTTCATGATATTAGTGAGCCTACAGTCGAGCACCTATTAATTTGCAACATTTGGTATTTTGCCTTGAGATGAGTGACTATGGCCAATGAAATCCAATTTTATTTTTGGTGGTGCTCTGTCTGTTGTGTGCTGCTTGTTGGAGAATCATGCTTATAGTCAACCAGTGATATGACCTTATGTGATATGTTATGATAGTAACATCTTTACTAGTTTAGTCATCAGGAGCCCCTCAATTCCACCAGTCTTTGATAGGTTTGAAATCTGGAGAATGCTCTGGTAAGGAAAACTGATGGTTTATTTTATGCTCCTCAAGCAAACTGTTCTTAGCTTGCTACTAAAAGTCTATTCATCTGATAAAGAGTGTTTAGTCATTTGGCCAGTGAATATTTATGTAAATGTGTTTCGTTTCATTTTCATTTGTTATGACCTAGTAGCATACTGCTGCTTGGGAATCCTGCAGACAACCATTTAATCATAGCAATCTATACTTAGAACATTAAAATATATACTATTATTGGAAAATAGTGCTTAACCTGCACTTTTAACGAGTATCTTTATTGGATCAACTACTCAAAAAACATAAATAAACCTTTATAATCACAGTCTATTTCTGTCTATTCTAATTCTGTTTTTTTTTTTGGAAATGCCATTCATTTGTAATTATTTCACTATACAACTTAAAATGTGCATCACAGAACAACTACTGTAAGTAGTGTTCAATTGAATTTCAATGAATTACAATACCTGAATTAAATACTTTGAAGGTTGAAGTTTCCATTTGTATGCTCTTTATAAAGGACCTAAATGTACAGCTATGCAGGATAACTTAAAAATTGGTTTAAGAAACAGAAGAAAAGGGAAACCTATTGTCTTTTTGTTTATTTCTAAAGAGGGCAGTGGAGGAAAGAAGGGTGGTAAGAAGAAGGGCTCTTCTTTCCAGACGGTGTCTGCTCTCTTCAGAGTAAGTGCTACAGTATATCCAACATCTTTCCTAAAATGTGTGTCTCAAATAATTACATTTTTTTCTCATTTGCACTAAAAGTCCTATCTTGTATTATTGGCATGACATTTACTTGGCAATATGATACCTGTTACTCTACAGGAGAACCTGGGAAAGCTTATGACAAATTTAAGAAGCACCCATCCTCACTTTGTACGTTGCATTATTCCCAATGAGACCAAAACACCAGGTATGTACAACAATAACTGTAACAATAATATCAGCATCCCAAGTGAACTTTATGTTTCAAAGGCTTTGCTCAATAACTGAAAGTCCTGAAAAAAAACCATTAGAATTTATAAATTGGAAAATAAAAATAAATAAGTGAATAAATAAACTAAAAGAATTACAAATGATTAATACCGGATTTGTTTCATTGCTATTTCAGGAGCAATGGAAAATGCACTGGTCATTCACCAGCTGAGGTGTAACGGTGTGCTGGAAGGTATCAGAATTTGCAGGAAGGGATTCCCAAGCAGAATCCTGTATGGAGACTTCAAACAAAGGTACTATTAAAGTTTAGGCCTAAGATATACTGTATATGATCAGACACATTTATAGAAATGAAAAATAATGTAACTTTGTTCTCCCTTTCTGGAAGATACAAAATTTTGAATGCCAGTGCCATCCCAGAGGGCCAGTTCATTGACAGCAAGAAAGCTTCAGAGAAGCTATTGGGATCAATTGATGTTGATCACACTCAATATAAATTTGGGCACACCAAGGTAAACTTTTGAATGTTAAGTTTCAGCTTACATAGAGCCCAAGAGTTATATCAGGACCTTGACCAAATCAAAAACAAATTATTGAACTCTATCCTAACAGATGGCTGTTCTTTATTTTAATATATAAAATATACATTTTCCTGAGTATTATAATGAAATATATTTGGTTGCATTTCATAAGTAATCGTTAAATATACGAAGGTTCATGTAACCATTTTTCATTCTTAATGTTATTTCTAATTTTCTCTATAATAGTTTTACTATGAAAAAATAATTACAGTTACTTTTATGTGAATCCAATGCATTTACAGGTATTCTTTAAAGCTGGTCTATTAGGCACCCTTGAAGAGATGAGAGATGATAAATTGGCTGCTCTTATCACGTGCATCCAATCTCTGAGTCGTGGATTCCTGATGAGAGTCGAATTCCAAAAGATGATGGAAAGAAGGTGAATAGAAATGCTAGAAAACAAGGTTTTCATTTTTAAAAGATTCAAATAAAACTGCCACAAATGGAAGAGTGAACTTTTCGTTTATAATGAAAAGAAAGTTCATAAGCTTATATAAACATTTAGTTTATCATACAAGACGTTTTAAAATATAAAATATTGATCTTAGTTATTTAAGAATAACTTTGTGAATGAGATACAAATCCAGGGTATCAAAATGTTACATTAGTTATGTGAGTCGCAGCAACGTTTTAAAAGAGTTTAAAATTAATCCTGAAGTCAATATTTTTACTTACTTTTTTGCTTAGGGAGTCCATTTTCACCATCCAATACAACATCCGCTCATTCATGAATGTGAAACACTGGCCATGGATGAAGCTGTACTTCAAGATCAAGCCTCTTCTGAAGAGCGCAGAGGCTGAGAAGGAGATGGCCAACATGAAGGAAGAGTTTGCCAAGTGCAAGGAAGACCTGGCCAAATCAGAAGCCAAGAGAAAGGAGCTTGAAGCCAAAATGGTGACACTCCTGCAGGAAAAAAATGATCTGCAATTGCAAGTGCAATCAGTATGTACTGTATATAGTCTATTATACCAATTCTCTAGTATCTGATATCTGATATCAAATATCAAAGCTATATTTTCCTCATGCCTACAAGATAATATTGTTTCTAAGAATTCTTTCGCCATGAAATATTGTTTGTGTGCATCAGAACATCTCTTTACTTAAACAGATTCTTTAAAATATAATTGATCATATGAAATAATAATCATTGTACTATCCTGATTCTCTCTGGTTCAGTTGTTACCAACTATACAATCTCTTTCCAGGAAACCGAAAATCTCTCTGATGCTGAAGAAAGGTGTGAAGGACTCATCAAAAATAAAATCCAACTTGAGGCCAAAGTGAAAGAGATATCAGAGAGACTGGAGGATGAAGAGGAAATGAATGCCGAACTGACAGCCAAGAAGAGGAAACTGGAGGATGAGTGCTCTGAGCTCAAGAAAGACATTGATGACTTGGAGCTCACCTTGGCCAAAGTGGAGAAGGAGAAACATGCAACTGAAAACAAGGTTAGAATTTCTTATTGAATATTACTAATTACATTTTTATACAGCAGTAACTAAAAATTAAAACTTTAATTTTAAACACATGTAGGTTAAAAACCTGACAGAAGAAATGACTGCTTTAGATGAAAGCATTGCTAAGTTAACCAAGGAGAAGAAAGCTCTCCAAGAGGCTCATCAACAGACTCTTGATGATTTGCAAGCAGAGGAGGACAAAGTCAACACTCTGACTAAAGCCAAGACAAAGCTTGAACAGCAAGTGGATGATGTAAGTGACACATCCAAACAAATACTTCATGTATTTTGAGACAGCTTTAACTACAATTAATAATGTTCAAATATTCTAGCTTGAAGGTTCACTGGAGCAAGAAAAGAAACTCCGGATGGACCTGGAGAGAGCCAAGAGGAAGCTGGAGGGTGATCTGAAACTTGCCCAGGAATCCATAATGGATTTGGAAAATGACAGACAACAATTAGAAGAGCGACTAAAAAAGTAAGATTTTTGTAACTTAGAAAAACACACATTTGCAGATAAAACCAAACAGAAATTAACTCCTTTGTGTTAATGTCCCCCTTAATAGGAAGGACTTTGAAATCAGTCAGCTTCTCAGCAAAATTGAAGATGAGCAAACTGTGGGTGCTCAACTTCAAAAGAAGATTAAAGAACTGCAGGTATTTTCACAAAATGTTCTATATTATATGTTTGTTTCAGTCTAATAGATCCATATCATAATGTCAATTTATTTTGTTAAGTTGATAAGTTATGTTGATAGCCTATTTGTCATGATTGTATAGTAATTATATACAGTATATAGGCAGAATTATATTTTGTTACCTTAACAGGCCAGAATTGAAGAGCTTGAAGAGGAAATTGAGGCTGAACGTGCTGCTCGGGCCAAGGCTGAGAAGCAGAGGTCTGATCTCTCCAGGGAACTTGAGGAGATCAGTGAAAGACTTGAAGAAGCTGGAGGAGCAACTTCTGCCCAGATTGAGATGAACAAGAAACGTGAAGCTGAGTTCCAGAAGCTCCGCCGTGACCTTGAAGAGGCCACTCTGCAGCATGAAGCCACAGCTGCAGCTCTCCGCAAGAAGCAGGCTGACAGTGTGGCAGAATTAGGGGAGCAGATTGACAACTTGCAGAGAGTCAAACAGAAGCTGGAGAAGGAGAAGAGCGAGTACAAAATGGAAATTGATGACCTCTCCAGCAACATGGAATCAGTTTCCAAGTCAAAGGTAAATATAAATAAAATCTGTTTTTACTTGAGGAATAGTAATTAAAAAGTAAACCAACAGAAAAACTTTTTTTCATCTGAAGGCAAATTACGAGAAGATGTGCCGAACTTTGGAGGACCAGCTCAGTGAATTGAAATCGAAACATGACGAGGATATTCGTCAAATGAATGAAATGAGTACTCAAAGGGCAAGACTTCAAACAGAAAATGGTAAAATAAATAAAATAATTAATTTAGTCTTACATTAAAAAAATGCCCTGTTAAAATATTTTTTTTTATTTGATTTTATAAGGTGAATTTTCACACCAACTGGAAGAAAAGGATGCCTTAATTACCCAAATGACAAGAAACAAAGTGGCTTTCACTCAGCAAATTGAAGAACTGAAGAGGCAACTTGAAGAAGAAACAAAGGTATGAGAATAGGAATATATGAATAGTTACACAAAGAAGAGGAGATCATTTGGCCCATCTAGCAGCTATTTCTAGAATGAGGCCAGGGTTTCAGCTTCAATGACATGGCTTGGTGTTTTCTGTTCTCAGTTTTAAATGGCCACTTAATTTCTACCCGTTTCTGCTGATTCATATTTCACTGTTCATCCACTCTATTTATAAATTATTTTAAGGATGAATTGGATATTGAACACTTGAATCATCCATCCATTTTCTAACTGCTTAATCCAATTTAGGATTGCGTGAGAGTCCGAGCCCATCCCGGGAAGAAACAGGCACAAGGCAGGGTACACCCTGGACAGGACACCAGTCCATCACAGGGCAGACACACAGACATGCTCATACTCACATACATTTTCCCAGAAACCAATTTACCCACCAAAATGTCTTTGTACTTGTGGGAGGAAACTGTAGCACCAGGAGGAAACTGAGGTGAACACAGAGAGAACATATAAACTTCATGTACATAGAGCCCAAGTACCGGATTTGAACCCAGAGCCCCTGCACTGCGAGGCAGCAATTCTAACTACTGTGTTACCCCCTTGAATCATTAAAACATTAATCACAAAAATGAACTATGTAAGTTGCAAAATTGTTTTATTTCATAAAATGATTTTACTAACCCCATGTAACTTTTTTCAAAGGCCAAGAACGCCCTGGCTCATGGTCTCCAGTCTGCCCGCCATGACTGCGACCTGCTCCGGGAGCAATATGAGGAGGAGCAGGAGGCCAAGGCTGAGCTGCAGCGCTCATTGTCCAAGGCCAACAGTGAAGTGGCTCAGTGGAGGACAAAATACGAGACTGACGCCATCCAGCGCACTGAGGAGCTTGAGGAGGCCAAGTAACTACATTATTTCTACTCTTAAACTAAGTGCTTTACTGTGAAATCTAAAATGATTGAACAAATTCTAACAATCATCACGTTCCACAGGAAAAAGCTTGCCCAGCGGCTCCAAGATGCTGAGGAACAAATTGAGGCTGTGAATTCCAAGTGTGCTTCACTGGAAAAGACCAAGCAGAGACTTCAGGGTGAAGTGGAGGACCTCATGATTGATGTGGAGAGAGCAAATGTTCTAGCAGCTGCCCTTGATAAGAAGCAGAGGAACTTTGACAAAGTATTGTATTGCTTTATCAATGAAGTTAAAATGTTTCCATATGACAAAACTTTATATAAATATGCAATTTTACTTTTAAATTGCTTTTAGATTTTGGCAGACTGGAAGCAGAAGTTTGAGGAAAGCCAGGCTGAGCTGGAAACTGCTCAAAAAGAGTCTCGGTCTCTTAGCACAGAGCTTTTCAAGCTGAAGAACTCATATGAAGAGGCTCTGGATCATCTTGAAACTCTTAAAAGAGAGAACAAGAATTTGCAACGTATGTGTTCAAATAGTCTGCATTTATCTTATGAAACTGTATAGTTCATGAGGAATTTTTAATTATTATAAATCATATTGTTACAGAGGAGATATCAGATCTCACTGAACAGATTGGAGAGAGTGGAAAGGTTATCCATGAATTAGAGAAATCCAAGAAGCAGGTGGAATCAGAAAAAATTGAAATTCAGACTGCATTGGAAGAAGCTGAGGTAACTGAGAGTGAGATGTCTGCATTTGTGTGGTGCCAAAATATTTAAAATATGTTTTTAATTAAAATTTTTTCCACTAAAATCTCAGGCATCTTTAGAACACGAAGAATCCAAGATCCTTCGTCTACAACTAGAACTGAATCAAGTGAAATCTGAGGTTGACAGAAAGATTGCTGAAAAGGATGAGGAAATGGAGCAGTTGAAGAGAAACCATCAGAGGATTGTGGACTCCATGCAGACTGCTCTTGATGCAGAAATCAGGAGCAGAAATGATGCCCTAAGAGTTAAGAAGAAGATGGAGGGAGATCTCAATGAGATGGAAATTCAGCTGAGCCATGCCAACCGTCAGGCTGCTGAAGCCCAGAAACAACTGAGGAATGTCCAAGGACAACTCAAGGTATGTAAAAAAAGTTGGCATCAATATAACTTACAAAGTAAATACAGTACAACCTTAATATTCACATGGGTTAGGTACATTGAAGTCTCTGTGAATAATGATTTGGAAACTTAACTTAATAACTTGAATTATAGAGAGAAACAATACTTTAACAATGCAAATTTGATCACTGTTATACAGTGAAATACAGTGGCTTAGTAAGTTAGTTAGAAGAGTGCATTTATCGTTTGTAACAGTGCAGCACTACTGCAAATGCAGATAAGGTGGTCACTCATAATCTTGAGTGAATAGGTGTAATTGAGAGTAGAACTAGTGAATATCGAGGTTCTGCTGTAGGTAAAGATGGAGGAATCTCATTTTCATCAAGACTTGTCAATTATTTCATGTCTTAATTTAAACCTTTTGTGTTCAGGATGTCACAATTCACTTGGATGAGGCCATCAGAACTCAAGAAGACCTTAAGGAGCAGCTTGCAATGGTGGAGCGCAGGAACAGCTTGATGCTGGCAGAGATTGAAGAAATGAGAGCTGCCTTGGAACAGTCAGAGAGAGGTCGTAAGGTCGCTGAGCAGGAACTGCTTGATGCAAGCGAACGAGTACAACTGCTACATTCCCAGGTTGAAAATAATCCTCCTTTTAATTTTTTAGTTAATATTCATTAATATTAAAGTAGAATGATCTAATGTTGCCTCTTCTGTACATACGCAGAACACTAGCCTCATCAACACAAAAAAGAAACTTGAGACTGACGTAAGTCAGCTACAAGGTGAAGTGGATGATGCCATACAGGAAGCAAGGAATGCAGAAGAAAAAGCCAAGAAAGCTATTACAGATGTAAGTTATACATTTCTTCAAAGCTATAGACTCTTCTTAAATCACATAAGTTTTAGAAATTCCCAAGACATAGATCACAACTGGCTGAGGGTGAACATGGGTACGGTCGAGGTTATTAGGACAGGATTCTCTTGGCTCTCCACAAAATAGTGACTCCTGCACTATCCTGAGTAAATGCAGGCCTGCTTCTATCAGTGAAAGATTAATTAATAATTATAATAGCTTATACTTATATAGCGCTTTTCTGGACACTCCACTCAAAGCGCTTTACAGGTAATGGGGTCTCCCATAGTGCAACCATAGTGCACCAGAACGCTCACCATACATCAGCTATTAGTGGGGAGGAGAGCAGAGAGTAATGAAGCCAATTCATAGAGGGGGATTATTAGGAGGCCATGATTGGTAAGGGCCAATGGGAAATTTGGCCAGGACGACGGGGTTACACCCCTACTCTTTTCGAGAAACACCCTGGGATTTTTAATGACCACAGAGAGTCAGGACCTCGGTTTTACATCTCATCCGAAGGATGGCATCCGAAGGATGGTTTACAGTATAGTGTCCCCATCACTATACTGGGGCATTAGGACCCACGTGGACCACAGGGTGAGTGCCCCCTGCTGGCCCCATTAACACCTCTTTCAGCAGCAACCTTAGTTTTTCTCAGGAGGTCTCCCATCCAGGTACTGACCAGGCTCACACCTGCTTAGCTTCAGTGGGTTGCTAGTTGTGAGTTACAGGGTGATATGGCTGCAGATGTTCTGCTCCTCCAGTTAATGCTAATCCTCCTGAGAGCTGCTACGGATCTTGTGCTGTAGCATGTCACAAGATTAAGTTAAAGTGAGCAGGCCTGTCTGCCCTTCCTTTACAATAATACGAGCTGAACTGTAGAAAATAGTTATTCAACTGGGTGAGTGAAAAATGCAAAAAAAAAGAAATTCCTGGTCTTTAGATAAATTAAATCAGCATATTCCTCCTCTATAATTCTAGGCTGCTATGATGGCAGAGGAGCTAAAGAAGGAGCAGGACACCAGCGCTCACCTGGAGAGAATGAAGAAGAACCTGGACATCACAGTGAAGGACCTGCAGCACCGTCTGGATGAGGCTGAGCAGCTGGCAATGAAGGGTGGAAAGAAACAGCTCCAGAAGCTGGAGGCCAGGGTGGGGTATAATTAACACAATCATTTTTGATGCACAGTGTACATGAAAAGAAGTGTGGATTAATATATTTCCAATAAATAATTACAGGTGCGCGAGCTGGAGAATGAGCTCGAAGCTGAACAAAAACGTGGAGCTGAGGCCATTAAAGGTGTCCGAAAATATGAGAGAAGAGTCAAGGAGCTCACTTATCAGGTAATATGATAGTTTACAAAAGTTTAAGAAATATTCAGAATTATGTTTTTTGTTCAGATCACAGCATTAAATTGATTCATTTTAAAACTTTAATTATTTCCAGGCTGAAGAAGACAAAAAAAATGTTCTTAGACTTCAAGACCTTGTAGATAAGCTACAACTGAAAGTGAAGGCTTACAAGAGACAGGCTGAAGAAGCTGTAAGTTAAAAATAATTTATCAAGCTTTCTTGGTCTTGAAACATTGAAGGTCCCTTTTTTTGCAGTGGAGCAAAAGTGTATCCTTTTGATCGAACATGGAAATTAAAATCAGTAATTACTGACCTTTTAATGAACTCTTGACATTTATTTTTTATTACACAGCAGATTTCTGTACATCACATACAGTAAATAAACTTATGTCTTTTTATACCTCCAGGAGGAACAGGCCAATACCCATCTCTCCAAGTTCAGGAAGGTGCAGCATGAGCTGGAAGAAGCTGATGAACGTGCTGACATCGCCGAGTCCCAGGTCAACAAGCTGAGAGCCAGAAGCCGTGATATTGTGTCCAAGGTTAGTGTCCATTATTTTTCAAAAGGTGCCATACACTGCTGATACTTTCATATTTCTCGAAAGTAAACCAGAAGTTCCTGGCTCACCTCAGAAAAATGTTAACTGTAAGAGGTATTAAAAGACAGTAGAAAAAAGGGGTTGCAGTTGTGTATTATAACTGCACAAATTTTATATTAGCATTCAATCAGAAAATCTAATACATGCTTGACCAGTGCTTTGAAATAGTCACCTTGAAAGTTAGTCTGAGAATGAGATGTGTCCATTTTAATGTATGATTAATGCATCACTTTTAGACAACTGATTTTCTTGCAGAATAGAAGGTATGAACATTTCTTTGGTTAAGAAATTATTGATGAAGAAATCAAGAGCATAGAAATAAGACTATTCAACTAAAGAAAGGATTCTATTTTTTTTCACTTCCAAAGGGAAAAGAAGCAGAAGAGTAGAAGAAGTATCAGGATTTGCCTGTGGGAAATTCATACAATATGATTTCCCAGAATCATAATAGATAGCACTTTCCTCTCACCTTAAATAAAGCATGTGAAGTTTCATTTTGCCTTCTGTGCTTATTTCCCAGTATGTCCATTGCTTCACTGCAAAATTCTAGCTATATCCACAAGGAGCACGTGCATATTTTTATACTTTGGATTCTTTGACCTGAAGCTCCAGTGCAGTCCTGGTTCTTCTGTTATTACCCAGCACCTTAATTTTGCACTCCCTTAAATTATGCAGAGTATGAATAACCAGACATACAAAATGGTATGAGGTACCTTTATAAGATAGAACCCTTTACTAGTGCATTCTGTTGTAATAAAAAAAAATATAGCTTCTCATTTGAACGTTTATCTTGTTGAATTTACCATAGAGGTTTAGACTTTTTGCTGCAGTTTTACAACGGTTTCATGCCTTCACTACACCACCCTTTACCACACCAGACCATGAGAATAGCGAGGCATAAAGTAAGATAAATATTTCTATAGAGTGTTTAGTATATTGAACAATATTATTCATATGGTGCAGTGTGATAATCATGGTACAGTGTGATAAAGGACAGTACAGTCATGTTGAAACTATAGGAATCCACAGCAGAAATATGGTTAATCTAAAGGATGGGAATCAGAACACTTAGTTATCTGTTGAGCAAAGACAATCAGCTGTACAGAAGAAGATAAAAAAGCAAGGAAGAATATGAAAAAGGTTACAAAGGACAGAAGATATTTGGACCTCATCCCCGGTTCATATTTGAGCCATGAATTCAGAGGACACAAGTAGAAAGCAAGTTAAAAGTGTACTGTATATATAAAACTGAGAACAGGAGGGACTCTTACTCAAAGGGTTGTGGGAGCATGGAACAAGGTACTCAGTCATGGCCTCCCAGTTGTAACTCCTGTTATATTCTTATTTTGCTTGCTTTTGTACTGTTAGTTTAATGATTCATGAATCTCACCAAGACATTCATCATCTTCAATAAAGTGTCTATGAACATTAGTTTGTCCCAGCCCCCTTGGCATTGTGAGTACAGAATTATATTCTGTCTTGATTTCTTCAAATCTTAATCATCACTTGTAGCCCTGGGTTCTTCTAATATTGATGATGATGAAGATGTTCGGTAAATGCCTTTCAGGATTTTTAAAACCTGATTAGGTTCCTAAGTATTCTGTTTTCACAGGTCAAAAGTTTCATCTTGCTGACTTTGTCAGGTTTTGCACCCCCATTAACTTCTTTATCATCTGTAAATTTGAAAGGTTCACTCACTACCACAATTTAGAAGATCACTGACATAAATTAAGAAGTTCTGAGGTTATACTGATCCCTGCAGTGCCCTACTAATAACCTCTCTCCAGACTGAGGCAACTTTTCCCATAATGTTAAGGCCTGAACCAGGCTTCTGCTTTGTTCTGCTGTTATATTTGTTGATATAACAAAATATTTAAAGGGAGGAAATTCCAGGTGGAAAATAGCTCTGAGGGCCAAAATCACTAACAGGTTAAATTCAGTATATTTAACTTCAGTATACTTTTTTGTCAAACATTCAAATGTAAAGTACTGCATCTACAATCACAATTTCTTAAGCTCTTTATTTTACAGTATTTAATCAAGACATTAAGATAACATGAGATTCAAAATACATTTTACATTCACGCTAAGATCTATTCACACCAGACATTTTTAAGTGCTTTTTTCAGGTAGATTATAATGAATATAGAAAAAGGACAATATAAAAATTGAACATCTTAATCGATTTAAACTAGCATAATCTGACATATGTAGCTCTAAAAATGTATCCAAGTGGTCAAAAGCTGCAAAATAAAAGATTTTTGGCGTTTTATTTTATATAGCATATTATATGAATGACTCATATATATGTATATAAATATTACATGTATATACATCACTGTTTTGTCTCTGTTATAGAAAATCAAAGGTCATGGATTTCTATGCATAACAATCATTTGTATTGTACGTGTCTTAAAAGTGAAATTGAAAACGTGTCACCACAGAAATCGTTGTTAGTTAAACAGTTTGGGTACTCCTAAACTTTTCAATCTAGATTTTTTTAAGTATGAGATTCAACCACAAAACTGAACATGAAACTCAAGTTCCTGTATCTACTTTTCTAGCTGTTGCAATGATATTCATACATTTGACCCAGTGTGAATAGACCTTAAAAGGGAAAGCGTTGGCACAGTCCGTAGGATTGTGAGCAACAGAACCACGTCAAGGTCCTTTCCCATGTCTGCTGGCCAGTCACGCACTCAAGTGAAGCAACCACCGAACAGGAAAGTCAAGGATGAAACTCAAGTTAGACACTAACAATTAGACATCCTATAGGACACATAAAGCATAATGAGTTTTTAACAGCCTTGATCATTTGCTCTTAAATAAGTATAATGTGATAAGAAAGAACAGGTATAGATAAGAGGAGGCCATGTGGCCCATCTAGCTTGTTTGGTTGCTGTTACTAGCAGCTTAATGTTTGCTTTCCAACTGCTAAATACAGGGCCTGGTCAGTACTGGGATGGAAGGCCGCCAAGTAAGTGCATCGATGGCCCAGTAGATAGCACTCTTTCCTAAGGACCACAAATTCCAAAATGTTCTTCCAATACTAGTGTGTAGGTGATGACATCCTTCACACTATAAGTTAAAGCAGACTAAAGATCTAAAGTTAATAAAGATCTTTTGGCACTATTCTTGTAAAAGCAGTTGAAGTAATTGCAGTGTCCTTGCTAAATTCCACCATGTGGTTATAAAATCTAGCCAACCTCAATGTTCTCCCTCAATTAAATGGCTAAATCAATTTCTCACCCAATTTGCTGTGTGAATGGATTCCACATGTATTACCTTCCTATTGATGAAGTGGATCACATCCTATTTGTAAACCACTTTGTGATTCTGTGCAATAAGAAAGTACTATATAAATATGCGATTAATTATTATTTTATCTAAGGCAATTTACAGTAGATAACATATTGGAATAGCATGTATACTAAATCTGACCTAAAATTATCATTTTTATCAATACCGTTATTCAATAAATACATACATTGAAAATGTCAGTTTTGTAACACACGTCTCTAAAATTGTATCTTCATCAGGGCTAAAATTTATTAAAGCGTACAGATGTAACTCTTTCCTGGTGTTGTCCAAAATAAAAAAAAATCCTGTTTTCACACACCTGTAAAAGAAATCACCAAGACTAATTAGGAATGTCTTTAATGCATATACAGTTCGTGTAGGTACTGCTTTTTATAATGCTGAAATCAATATTAAATATTTATGAAGTTCCCACTATATAGCCTTCTTATGGAAAGTGAAAAATGTGTAAACAGTTTTTTACAGCCCGAAGAAAAAGCTTTACAGTATTACTATAGATATTGTGCCATTGTGAATAAATACTCTCAATCAAGCAAGTTCAGTAAAATAATTTAAAAATCATTTTCTGTATTTGACTTCTACCATCTGCCCCAACATGATGAAAATGCTTTAGGATCACGTAACATACTTATGTTTGGGTCATAAAAATATGTTGAATATTCTGAACCGGATCCAACATCAGATCAGTTTGCAAGTGAAGTCTCTGCATGTATGGTATTACTTGCACTGCCTATGTATACTGTATGTGTCCAGACCTATTCATAGCAGGCATCTTAGACCAGACTGCACATGTCATAAAACATGCTCATAATTAACAAAGCCATCAGAGAAACATCATATGATATTGTGCAGGAAAATATAAGCATGGTACTACAACTAATGCCACTACTGCCATTAATAACAGAAATATATAGAGTATGAAACTTTTTTTGATTTTCTAGTGTTTTCAGTAATTTGGTTTCACAATCACATTTAAGTTCCTAGTAAAATAATGAAATAATACGATACTTTGCTTGGGCTGATTGTTTACTTTAATACTGATGTACACTGATGGTGTACAGAACTGCAAAGTTTTTCTGAATTATTAAAATCTGGAATTCATTTAGAGTAGAGTTTCTTTTCAGTCTCTGGATTCCTAAACCACATTCTAGTTTCTTTAATAACAAGAAAAATCAAAGCAGACTGGTACGACTAGAGCTACTAATTTTTCACATCTTGTTTTTATTTTAACACTGCATTACAATCTTGAAACTCCAAGCACCTATGTATAAGAACTCTGGTTCTACTAATCCAAACAATAGTCATCTACTTTGTACTGTAAAATCAAAAATATACCATAATAACAAGGAACAATTACAGCATTTTTCAACTCAGAGTTGGTCTGTAGTGTATTCCACAATGAACTGTATAATGTGTACAATTATAGTTTTGTCTGATACTCCAGGACCTTGTGTTACAAATGGTTCTTATCAGAGAGCAACTTATAACTTTGAACTTATGTTTAAAGTCTGGTTCATATACTGTTGGTTTTTCTTTCAGCATTAACCTAACTTATGTGGTTTACATACATTTTGTGTATGTACAGTAGCTGAATTTACCAAGTCCCTTAACACAACCAGACTCTGAATGTCTCTGAATGTCTCTTAAAAAGTAAAAATAAAATTACTGCTGAGATGATGATG